CATCAATGATGAGAATCATTGATCAACTGTCCCCTGCATGCCCCTTCCTGGGGATGGAGCCAGCAATGCAGGCCTGTGCCCTGATCAGGAATGCAAATTTCAATCTCCTGGTTCAAAGATCAATGCTCAACCACTGAGCCATGCCAGCTGTGCTGGGTGCTTGCTTTTAATTATTTTCAGGATGGATACAGAACAAGTTAAATCAGCTGTGCAAGCTAAAGTAAGCCCCAATATCTAGATGAAGTAGTTTTTAGCATCTCTGCCAGAGGGAGGAAAAAAAACAACAACAACCTGATCACCAGAAAAGGAAATTCAGTCTGAGAGGTTTTTTTTGCTGATGGAAAGACCGTGGCATTTGCCCAAGGGTGGCCTTTACTTTTTTCTAGGAGATCACTCAAAGTTCCCAGTAAAATGCCTAGCTGATGTGGGTCAGTGGTTGAGAGCTGACATATGAACCAAAAGGTCATAGTTTGATTAGCAGTCAGGGCACATGCCCAGGTTGTAGGCTTGCACTCCAATAGGGGATGTGTAGTAGGCAGCCACAGAGTGATTTTTCTCCCATTGATGTTTCTCTCTCTCCCACCCCCCCCATTACTCTCTGAAATCAGTATGTTTTAACGAGAGGCCCAGTGTACGAATCTGTTTCCGGGCCTGATGGGGGCTGGGCAGGCTATGGGGAGGGGTGCAGTGGCTTGGCCAGAGGGGCCGCCCCCACTTGAGGGTTGGGGCTGGAGGGAGGCGCTGCTGGCCATGGGGAGGATCTGTGAGCAGTGGGCAGCTGGCCCTTCCCCTGAATGGGTTGGGGTCCGGGGCTGCTGTTGGGGTAGGGGATGTGATCGGGGGCAGGGCCAGCCAGGGGGAAGGGCTGCAGGCCTATCATGGTGGCATGGGTCAAACAGGGGTGGGATGGCCAGGGGGATGGCTGGAGGGGGGGCATTTGGCCAGCTGGCCCTTTTGATGGGGTGGGATAGTCTGATCAGGAGCAGGCTGGCTGGGGGAGGAGCCACAGGAGGTTGACCAGCCAGCCCACCCCTTGATCAGGTGATTTGCCGGCCACAGTGGGCATCATAATGACTGTCATTGGCTTTTTATAGAGAGAGACTATATGTATATGTATTAAAAAACAAAGTACCGCTGAAACCGGTTTGGCTCAATGGATAGAGCGTCAGGTTGGGGACTGAAAGGTCCTGGGTTCGATTCCGGTCAAGGGCATGTACCTTGGTTGTGGGCGCATCCCCAGTAGGGAGTGTGCAAGAGGCAGCTGATTGATGATTCTCATCGATGTTTCTAACTCTCTATCCCTCTTTCTTCCTCTCTGTAAAAAATCAATAAAATATATTTAAAACAACAACAACAACAAAAAACAAAGTGTACCCAGTAAAATACCTACCCTAGGTGAACCTTTGCTGGAAAGAAACTGCAACCCTTAAATGAGTAGTACACACCCCTACAGAATACCCACCCAGATAACATTCACATTTCCTGCTCCATTTGGAACACGTTCTCTCACTCCAGACCTAACAGAGCTACCACTTCCGGTTTCCGTGTTGTCTGTGGGGGTGAGAAGGGATTTTGCAGCAGGGATGTGAGGCAAAGAGCTAAAACTTTGAGGTGCCAGGGACGAGGGCAGAGTATCTGGACACCAGTTTGAGCTGGAAACCAGGCAACAGGAGGTGCTAGGCGGGCCGCTGGGGCCAGAGGTGCTGTGAGCATCTGTGCAGGTGGTGGAATTTGCAGCCTTGGGGACACAGGTGGGAGATGTGGAAGGAGAGGGGAAGTTGGGTCAGAAACCGGTGTGGAGCCCTAACCGGTTTGGCTCAGTGGGTGGAGCACTGCCTGCAGACTAAAAGGTCCCAGGCTTGCCGAATCCGGTTTGGCTCAGTGGATAGAGCGTCAGCCAGCGGACTGAAGGGTCCTGGGTTTGATTCTGGTCAAGGGCATGTACATTGGTTGCGCGCACATCCCCAGTAGGGGGTGTACAGGAGGCAGCTGGTCGATGTTTCTCTCTCATCAATGTTTCTAGCTCTCTATCCCTCTCCCTTTCTCTCTGTAAAAAAAATCAATAAAATGTATTTTAAAAGAGAAACAAACAAAACTGGTGTGGAGGCTGGGCTGTGGAGGGAGCTGGCGGCCAGGACACAGGAGGTCCCAGGAGCCGTGAGGGTGGATGCATCTGAAGCAGGTGGATGGATGGGCCAGGGAACCAGTACTGCTGCCAGAGGGCATGGGATGGGGAGGCAGCCCCAGCTGTTGGGGATCGCAGAGGTCGACGGCAGCAGAGCCTGTTACCTGGGCCAGAAAACCCAGTTGGGAGTGGTGAGGGGTAGGGTAGACCAGAGCCCCTTCCTGGCTCTGTGGGCATCCATCTACTTGTCACCCCGCCCTTTTAGCCAGATATCAACTCTCTGCCTCCCTTTATCTCAGAGCCAACGCCTCTGTAGGCAGCCCTCCCCTGACCTGCCCAGCTCGCCCAGTCCCTGGGACTCCAGTAGTTTTTTTTTTTTTTTTTTAATATATTTTATTGATTTCGTACAGAGAGGAAGGGAGAGAGACAGAGAGTTAGAAACATCGATGAGAGAGTCATCGATCAGCTGCCTCTTGCACACCCCCTACTGGGGATATACCCGCAACCAAGGTACATGACCTTGACCGGAATCGAACCCGGGACCCTTCAGTCCCCAAGCCGACGCTCTATCCATTGAGCCAAACCAGTCTCGGCCTTGAATGATGGTGGGTTGTGTCCCTTCCCAGAGATTCCTGCTCATTCGTGTTGTTGGCAGAATTTAGTTCCATATACCTATGAGGTGCGGTGTCTCTAAGCTCCAAGGTCACAGTCACTCTCTTCATTTTGTCTGAACTCGGAAGAGTTCTCGCTGGACCTTGGCTCCTAGGGTTCCTCTGGGGCATCGGGCTGGTCATCCTGCCCCAGGTCTGGCTCCTCTCCCTGCAGCTGGGGGCGGTTCTCCACTCCGAAGACTCCCGTGATCAGACTGACCCCACCCGAGGTAAGTCTCACTGCCACGCGCACAGCGTTACTGACACGCATAGCGCATCGGCCACGCGGGAGACACGAGCAAATTCTCGGGATCGGGGCACGCACATCTTTGGGGGCAATTATCCTGCCTTCTACAGTTTATCCTTTGTTCCCCAAATTCCTGTCTGTTCTTGCAAAATAAACCTATCCCCAAGATCCCAAATGGCCTCATTCCAGTATGAACCCATCATCCAAATCCCATGATCTTAGAAGTGTGGAACCGTATCATCAAATCTGTCCAAATCAGCCGGGACCGGTTTGGCTCAGCGGTAGAGCGTCGGCCTGCGGACTAAAAGGTCCCGGGTTCAATTCCAGTCAAGGGCATGTACCGTGGTTGCAGGCACATCCCCAGTAGGGGGTGTGCAAGAGGCAGCTAATCGATGATTCTCTCTCATCGATGTTTCTAACTCTCTATCCCTCTCTCCTCCTCTCTGTGAAAAATCAATAAAATATATTTAAAAAAAAATCTGTCCAAATCAGTTATGGGTCAGATTCTGGGTGTAATCACCCTGAAGTGCATGATCTCCCCCTCTGTGGGTCTGTGATGCTAGAAAACAAACTGGCCCTGAAATAAAACGGTGGAGCAGCCCAGCAGGTGCGGCTCAGTGGTTGAGCATTGACCTATGAACCAGGTGGTCACAACTGGCTTCCTGGTCAGGGCACATCCTTAGGTTGCAGGCTCCATCCCAGTGTGTGTGTGTGTGTGTGTGTGTGTGTGTGTGTGTAGGGGGGGGAGACACGGGGGAGGGGGGTACAGGAAGCAGCTTATCAGCGATTCTCTCATCATTGATGTTTTTCCCCTCTCCTTTCCTCTCTGAAATCAATAAAAGAAGTTTTTTTTAAAGAATGTTGGAGCAGACCTAGGATAGCTGTATATATTGTTTCAAAAGGGGAGAAAAATGGAAAGAAAAAAAGAGGCACTAGTCTCAAGACATTTTGAAAATCATGTGGATCAAGCCCTGGAAACATAATTAGTGGCTCAGGGTCCTGCCCAGTGGGCTGGAAGCTCCCCATTAGGGGTTCTACGCTGCTGATTCATGCTTCTGTTTTCTTTTTCTTTTTTTAAAATATATTTTATTGATATTTTACAGAGAGGAAGGGAGAGGGATAGAGTTAGAAACATCAATGAGAAACACTGATCAGCTGCCTTCTGCACACCCAGCACTGGGGATGTGCCCACAACTAAGGTACATGCCCCTGTCTGGAATCGAACCCGGGACCCTTCAGTCCACAGGCCGACGCTCTATCCACTGAGCCAAACCAGTTTCGGCCATGCTTCTTTGTCATGAAAGGTGACTCGGGGTTGTAGCTCAGCCTTCCCAGCCAGTTTCATGTGTAGACACTGGAGGTATACACCCTTGGAGTTCATACTGTCCCTTTAGATCCAAGGTGTTTCCATGATTTTCTAAGCAGCTTAGCACTGAAGTTTTTTAAAAATATATTTTATTGATTTCAGGGAGGGAGAAGGATAGAAACATCAATGATGTGAAAGAATCATTGATTGGCTGCCTCTTGCACGCCCCACACTGAGGATCAAGCCCACACCTCAGACATGTGCCCTTGGCCAGAATCAAACTTGGGACTTTTTAGTCCACAGGCTGACACTCTATCCATTGAGCCAAACAAGCTAGGTCTAGCATTAAAGTTCTTTACGTTGGTTTTCTTCATTAGACAAATTTTGAGTAAAAAACGGTATTTTTAAAAAAATATATTTTATTGACTTTTTTTTACAGAGAGGAAGGGAGAGGGACAGAAAGTCAGAAACATCGATGAGAGAGAAACATCAACCAGCTGCCTCCTGCACACTCCCCACTGGGGATGTGCCTGCAACCAAGGTACATGCCCTTGACCGGAATTGAACCTGGGACCCCCTCATCCACGCTCTATCCACTGAGCCAAACCGGTTCTGGCAAAAAAAAACAGTATTATATTTTATGTGTTACTAGAGTCCCTCAGCTCAGCCTGTACCCTCTCCAATCCGAGACCCCTGGTTCCTAACCACTGGCCTGCCTGATTGCCCCTAACCGCCTCTGCTGCTGGTCTGCTGTGCCTAACTGCCCCCCACCCCTGCCAGCCTGATCACCCCTAACTGCCCTAACAAGGTGTCTCCCCAGTGTTAATGTTCACATATACGAAGTTCAACATCTGACTGATGTCTTCCTCTCCATGTGAGTCCGTGTGGAAAGCACTCCTACAGCCTTCCTGCCGTGTGGATCTTCTGGTGCCGAACGAGGTGGGAGCTCAAGCTGTAGGCCTTCCCGCACTCGCTGCACTCATAGGGCCTTTCTCCGGTGTGAACTCTCTGGTGCCGAACCAGGTGGGAGGTCCTTATGAAATCTTTCCCGCACCTGCTGCACACAAAAGGCCTCTCACCCGTGTGAACTCTCTGGTGTGCGATGAAGTCAGAGCTCCGGCTAAAGAATTTCCCGCACTCAGTGCATTCGAAGGGCCTGCTCGCGGTGTGAATTCTCCGGTGTTTGACGAGGGTGTACCTGTGGCCAAAGGACTTCCCACAATCACGGCAGGCGTAAGGGCTTTCTCCGGTGTGGATGCTCTCGTGCTGAACCAGCGTGGACTTGTGTCGGAACACCTTCCCGCAGTCGCTGCACTTGTAAGGCCTCGCCCCGTTGTGCACCCTCTGGTGCACGATTAAGTTGGAGTGATGGCTGAAGCACTTGCCACACTCGCCACACTTGTAAGGCATCTCTCCGGTGTGAGTCCTTTTGTGCTGCGTGAGGTTGTCCCTGCGGCCGAAGGCCTTCCCGCACTCGCCGCACGCGAAGGGCCTCTCCCCGGAGTGCGTTCTCTGGTGCTGCAGGAGCGTGGCCCTGCGGCCGAAGGCCTTCCCGCACTCGCCGCACGCGAAGGGCCTCTCCCCGGAGTGGATTTTCTCGTGCTGCACCAGCGTGTCCCTGCGGCCGAAGGCCTTCCCGCACTCGCTGCATCTGTAACGCGTGTGTCCCGGGTGGCAGGCCGCCCCGCTCTCGCTGCTCCTGGCCTTCCTCCTGCGGGGGGCGGCCTTTGGCTGGTGGCTCTCCCGTCCCCCCTTGCACACACAGGGCGTCCCTGGGGGGTGAGGTCCTTCACAGACGCCACCGTTCCTCACAAGCCTGGCCTCTGTGCCCCTCCTCACGGGCGTCTCTGCGCTGTGCTGCTCCTGGCGCTGGTCAAAGCCTGGCCTGCGTGCGAACTGCCTCCCACAGGCCTCACAGGGGTGTGGGTTTAGTCCGCGATGGGCTTCCTGGTGGGCATCCGGATGCAAGACATCCTTCAAGACGGGGCCACACGTGTCACACGGGTGAGCCATCTGGGCCGGGGAACCTCCCGCGGCAGGACGCACACGTGACACGTGCACAGAAATGCTCTGCTCAGAAGACGCCTCTTCATCCTTCACCCCAAGGCAGCACCCTGCAGCCAGAGAAATGCCGCCGACGTGAGAGAAATGCCGCTGACGTACACACGAACTCTGGTGAGAGGGACAACCCCACCGCAACAGCATGTCTGCACACCCACGGCCGAGCCCACGTCAGAGAAGGAGCTGATGTGCGTGACCAGGCTCGAAGGGTTGCAGGAAGGGGGGGGCCGGGAAAGGACAAAGGTGTAGCTTGGGGAGAAGCAGGCAGGACTGCCAGCTTTCTCCTTGCAGTTGGCTTTTGAAAAGGCCCTGGCTGTTGGTAAACGGTGAGTGCCACACGGGAACGAACGCCCGGGCCCAGGAAACGCTGACTTAGGATTAGTAACTGGTACTGAAGAACTACTTAAGGATATGTGTATGTCTCCGATATTTTAGCGCCATCCAGTGTGGGAGATCCCTGCAGAGGGAGCAGGAGAGAGCACTGGGAATCGGGGTGGACAGCCCTGGGTCAGAGGTCAGAACAGAAATGACAAATGCGTCAAGTGCCCAGAATGGGGAGGAAAAACAGAAATAAAGTGTGGCCTACAGCCTGGGCTCCAACAGTAGTGGGCACAGGACAGGTTTCTGGAGTTACCTGGACCAAACCCTGAGGTCTGACTTACCTGGGCCGGTCCAAGCCCCTCCTGCCATGGCCAGTCATTACCTCCCAGTGAGATCAGAGCGCTTTCTCCTGTTGTAATCCAGCAGCCACCAAGGATCTGGGAAATATAAGTCACGGAAGAAAGAGGGCCAGTGAGTAGGAAAGCACTGCCCCACCCATAACAGAGTCAGGTCTCGCAGACACACCCAATGGGTCCCACAAGCCATGACCGTAATTCATAACATACGTAGGCCCAAGGAAATAGCAAAGAAGGAGGCAGGCCCCAGCCAGTTAGGCTCAGTGGACAGAGGTGGGCCCACAGACCGAAGGGTCCTGGGTTCAATTCCAGTCAAGGGCGTGTGCCTTGTTTGCAGGCTCAATCCACGGGCCCTGTCAGGACGCATGCTGGCGGCAACCAACTGATGTGCCTCTTCAACGTTTCTCTCTCCCTTTCGCTTCCACTCTCTGAAACTCAGTGCAGAGGAGAGCCTGTGCAAAGAGCCGCGCTGTGCAGAGCAGGAGGGGGAGGCGGCGTTGTCTTCCCCCTCTGCCTTCGGCCCTGCTCTTCCTTTCAGTGTCTCCGGCTCCCTGGGGAGCTGGAGGTTGACAAAAAGTGGCAGAAGCCAGGGCGCAGGCAGGTGGCGCAGCTCCAGGGGTACCTTCTGAGTTGGCCAAGCCCCCAGGGACATGCGCGCAGGGAGTCCCCTGAGCAGAGCCTGCAGTGAGGAGGGAGGGGCATGGACCGCCCTTGGCCATCTGAGGGCCGCAGGGCGAGCCGCACACTGTGAGGCCCAGCCCCGCCAGGAGTCCGGGCCACCGTCGCGGGGAAGTGCCCTGGGAGGGTCCCAGCTCCTGAAGGCCATGTGCACCTCGGAGCTGAGGAGGCTGACAGCAGGGCCCGCCAGGGTCCCGCGAGAGGAAGGGGTTTTGATTTCCAAGGAACGAAGGAAGACAACTCCCAGCTTCCCCTCTGATTTACACTAGAGCGATCCCTACCCCCCCACTCCAATGTCAAGTTTGTACCTTGCATGCACTGGAGTATTTATTTCATCTATTAAAGTGTTATGTTTCTCAAAAAAAAAAAAAAAAATCAATGGAAAAATGTCCTTCAGAGAGGACGAACAACAACGAAAAGCCAAGCAGGGTAGCATCCAGTGGGCTGACACAAAACACCTGACCTTGACACCTTCCCGGCCAGGGTTCTGGGCAGCAGGAGTGGGAAGCGGAGGGAGTGGAGGAGACAGCACACACGGCTGAGCCCGAGGACCAGGCGAGGGAATGAGGGACGGCGGGAATGCCCATGGGCCTGCGGGAAGGGAACGGCAACCTCTGGAGAAGAAGGAAGAGCAGAGCCCAGACCAAAACCCTGCCCCTCAGGACCTCCCCCAGGACTGACTTCTTTCTTTCTTTAACAATATGTTTTTATTCACTTTTTTTAAAAAAATATTTTATTGATTTTTTACAGAGAGGAAGGGAGAGAGATAGAGAGCTAGAAACGTCGATTAAAGAGAAACATAGACCAGCTGCCTCTTGCACACCCCCTACTGGGGATGTGCCTGCAACCCAGGTACATGCCCTTGACCGGAATCGAACCTGGGACCTTTCAGTCCGCAGACCGATGCTCTACCACTGAGCCAAACCGGCTTCGGCTGATTTCTTTTTTTAAATTTTTATTTTATTTTATTGATTTCAGAGAGGAAGGGAGAGTGAGAGAGAGAAACATCAATGATGAGAATCATCAATCGGCTGCCTCCTCCACACCCCCTACTGGGGACTGAACCTGCAACCCGAGTATGTGCCTTTGACCGGAATCGAACCTGGGACCCTTCAGTCTGCAGGCCGACGCTCTGTCCACCGAGCCAAACTGAGCAGGGTGAACATCAACCTTTGATCAGCTGCCTCCTGCAAGCCCCCGACCGGGGATTGAGTCTGCAAACCTGGGCATCTGCCCAGACTAGGAATCGAACCCGCATCCTTTAGATACACAGGTTGACACCCAACCTACTGAGCCATACCAGCTAGGGCTTACTGATTTCTTACAGTGAGGAAGGGAAAGGGACAGAAACATCCATGTGAGAGAAGCACCGATCAGTGCCCCCTGCACGCCCCCCACTGGTGATGGAGTCCACAACCAAGTACATGCCCTTGACCAGCATCAAACCCAGACCCTTCAGTCTGCAGGCTGACGCTCTATCCACTGAGCCTAATTGTTTAGGGCAGGACCTTACCCAGGATTTAAACTTGATTTAAAGGCAAAGCACAGAGTCTCTGAGCCTTGTCAAGTAGTCCCCAACCCTCCCAGGAGGAAAGCAAACACCCTCAAAGTCACATGACCCCGCAGGAAGAAGGCAGCTGAGCGCAGGGCAGCCTCTCTCTGCAGGACTCCTGGCCTGCCTTACTTTCCTCCCAGCAGCCCATTCTCCACGCACCATCTGTCCAGCGGAGAACAGGCAGTGGACAGGGAAGCAGACGTAGAGCTTGGGCCTGGAGTGCGGTGCACAGCCCTTCGAGAATGCTCGGTTCCCTCCAGCCCCAGTCAGGGGCCCCACTGCCAACGGGACCTGTGAGCCCAGCCTTTCCATCCTCCCCTCCTCGGCCGAACGTCAGCAAACCAAACCACGTTCAGGTGACAGGCAGGCCCAGCCCTCCACTGGCGGCTGAACACTGAGGATGTAGATCCTCACCCGTCACAGGCTTAACCAGACTCTCACTCAAGGCCACACCCACTGGCCTCTTCCCCAAGTGCGGTGACCGTGCCCACTGACCCCATGGCCCCTGATTTCCCGCCTCCTCCCGCCCCGCGTCCCACCAAATGTCCCCACAGCAGCTGGGGAGCTCAGAGGGAAATGAGCAGCGGCCCTGCCCTCCCTTTCGTGTCGCCTCTATTACTGCCACCCCCAGCAGCCACCGCGGGGCGCCCTTTCTCCGAAGACGTTACCGCCTGTCCGATCCTGTTCTTCTCGCCTCCGTCCCCCCATCAACACGAATCCGCCTTTTCTAGACCCACAGTGTCACTGCCACCACAACATAAAGGTTCTCCCTCTCGATCTGACGTACAACTCCACCCTCCTCTAAGGCTGCCTCTGTACGGATGTCTCCACCTGAATCCCTCCTCTGAACGCAAAACCTGGGAGTCCTGCCGTCCATCTGACAACTCTGCCCAGACGTCTGGGACATCACAGACTCAACACGGTCAACACCGGACCCGTGACCTTATTTCCACCAACTTCACTACCTCAACTGAGGATTTCGCTCTACTTACACCTTCTCAGGCCAAACACTGCGGGGTCATCTCTAACCCCTCCCTTCTCGCTCTCATCCTCCACGTCTGCTCCAAACCCTCCGTGGCGCCAACCATGCTCAGGATAGAAACCCAGCCCCACAGACTGTCACTCCCAAGCTGAATCCTGTCCTCGCACTGATCACACCAGTTCTGAGCCTGGAGCAATGCACCTGTACACGCTGCTTCCCGAGTTTGGGAGGACACTGTTCAAACTGCTCGCTGCTGGCCGGAAATGGAAACCCTTTCACATCATTCGAGACTACAAGTCAGGGCTCAAGACCTTTGGAGAAAGAGGGATCCCCAAACTCAACGGCAGTCAGAAGGAAGGTTAAGAGCCCTCAGACACCGTTCCCATACTGGGAGGCCAAAGTTATGTGGTGGGGTGGGGTGGGCTGAATGTGGGCCTGCCCGTTCTGCAGTCCCCTATGCCACCCCACAAGCTTAACACTTTGCAAATGGTTTGGTACAAATGAAGTGATAGATTTTTATTTTTATTTCATTATTATTTTTTTAAAAATACATATTTTATTGATTTTTTTACAGAGAGGAAGAGAGACGGATAGAGAGTTAGAAACATCGATGAAAGAGAAACATCGATCAGCTGCCTCTTGCATACTGCCTACTGGGGATGTGCCCGCAACCAAGGTACATGCCCTTGACCGGAATCGAACCTGGGACCTTTCAGTCCGCAGACCGACACTCTACCACTGAGCCAAACCGGTTTCGGCAAGGTGATAGATTTTAAAATTCCGGTTTGTTTTTAATCTCTTAAGAAAATGTGGTATTTGGGACTTTCCATTATAACGAAAGCAGCAAGAACTTTAATTAATTACTAAGCACAGGTCTATCCTATCTGATTTATCCTATCGACACAGTCTAATTTCTAACTGACTGCTTATATACAATTGCCACGTGTACACTGGTCCTTTCACCAAACCAGCCCATCTAGTACACACTCCTCTACAGGCCAGCCTGCGAGTGCCCTTCGTTAGAAGTGTCTATCGGCCCTGGTCGGTCTTGCTCAGTGGTTAGCGTGTCCGTCCCTGCACTGGGGGCCACGGGTTCCATTCCCAGTCAAGAGCAGGTACCTGGGCTGCGGGTTCACTCCCTGCCTCTGGCTGAGGCGTGTGCAAGAGGCAGCCAATTGAAGTGTCTCTCTCACATCAATGTTTTTCTCTCTCTCTCTCTCCTTTCTACTCCCTCTGAAAAGCAATGGAAAAAGTACCCTCAGGTGAGGATTAACCACCACCAAGCAAGTGTTGATCACCTCTTCTCCCCGAGGAACCAGGGGGCTGATGTACTGAGGCCCTGGCCAGGCTGCTGTTTCTGTGCTCCACGGGCAGCGCCGCTGTGCATGCTGGGTCCAGACCACGGCAACCCTACGGCACCTCACCCCTTCTCCCCGCCATCCAGCAGCCAGGCCCCTCCCTCCTGGAGGAAATCTCGGGGATGTTCGCCTTCCGCCCCCGCCCTCCAGTCTCTCCCCTCAGGGGCCACATAAAAAGGCACCCGTAATATTCTTCCCCTAAGTCTGACCCCCAGGGTTTGACCGGAGGCCGAATACCCAGACGCCCACGTGACACCTCCCCTGCATAACCTTAGAACCCAGCCCCTGACCACCCTACACGGTGGTCCCCGTTCCAACTTCCATTCCTTCAGAGGTTCAGGGGAAAATCAAAACAAAACTTGCCCTGACTGGTGTGGTTCAGTGGATAGAACGTCGGCCCATGGACTGAAGGGTCCCGGGTTCAATTCTGGTCAAACGCATGTAGCTTGGTTGCGGGCACATCCCCAGTGGAGGGTGTGCAGGAGGCAGCTGATGGATGTTTCTAACTCTCTATCCCTCTCTCTTCCTCTCTGTAAAAAAAACAGTAACATATACTTTTTAAAAAAAACATCCATACGTTAGTTGCTTTAACAAGTTGCCCTTTCACAACGCAGCCAAGGTCTCTCCTATAAACCCACGTGCATGAGGAGACCAGGGCGGGGCTGGGGTCAGGCCGCTCCCACGGGGACCCCCCCGGATCACCTCCCTAGAGACGGTGAGAAAAGCCTGTAACCTCACGGCCCCTGAAGGCTGATCCCCTTATCTATCCATCTATCAGCCATCCATCTACGTAAGCAAGCATGCATTCATTGAGCCATCAATTCATCCACCCAACCACCCATCCACCCATCCATCCGCCCATCCACCCACCCACCATCCACCCATCCACCCATCCACCCATCCAACCACCCACCACCCACCATCCACCCATCCACCCATCCACCCACCCACCATCCACCCATCCACCCACCATCCATCCACCCATCCATCCACCCATCCATCCGCCCATCCACCCACCCACCATCCACCCATCCATCCATCCACCCACCATCCACCCATCCATCCATCCACCCACCCATCCACCCATCCACCCATCCATCCGCCCATCCTCCCACCCACCCATCCACCCATCCATCCATCCATCCACCCATCCACCCATCCATCCACCCACCCACCCATCCATCCATCCACCCATCCACCCACCCCCCATCCATCCATCCATCCACCCATCCACCCACCCATCCACCCACCCCCCATCCATCCATCCATCCATCCACCCACCCACCCACCCACCCATCCATCCATCCATCCACCCACCCACCCATCCATCCATCCATCCATCCACCCACCCACCCCCCATCCATCCATCCATCCATCCACCCACCCACCCACCCATTCATCCATTTATCCATCTATTCACCCATCTACCCATCAATCCATCCACAACAGGGTTAGCTGGGGAACTAGGGACCCCACCAGGGGTAGGACCCAGTCTAGTGCCCCCCACGCCCAACCGCGCTGCTCCCCGCGGCCCCGCCCACGGCCTCCTCATTGGCTGCGGCAAACGGCGGCCCCGCCCACGGCCTCCTCATTGGCTGCGGCAAACGGCGGCCCCGCCCACAGACGCCCTGCGGCCGCCGCGCAGCCCGGGCCTTAGGAGGGGAGGGAAGGGGAATGGAGGGGACGGGAGAGGAGAGGAAAAGAGGGGAGGGGAGGGGAAAGAAGAGGAAGGGAGGGATGGGGAATGGACGGGAGGAGAATGGAGGGCCCGGCTGCCTGCAGGTGCGGGGACGCAGCACCTACCTCACCGCTGCGGCCCTCGCCGTCACGGTCCGTGAGGGCCCGGCCCGGACCCGTGTCTCCGCGGGCGCCCCCGCCGCCCAGGCTCTTCCCCGCGGGGCCGGGGCCCCTCCCGCCACCGCGGAGCCCAAACGGGGCCCGCCAAGCTCTGCACACTCGGCCCTGCCAAAAGGCAAAGAAAGATGTCCGCCGCGAGGAAGACGCCGGAAGTCCCGCCCGCGCTGCGCGGAGGCCTCTGGGAAATGTAGTCAGCCCGGGGCTCTAGCTTGGACCTGCCGCCCTGGTGCCATGGGGCTCCGGGAAACGGATCCTGGAGGCCCAGAGGCAGCGGGTCATTCAGGAGTGATCTCCAGGGGTGGGAGAAGTATTTACAGACACGTTCTCTCAGATATTCCCCAAAACTAAAGAATAAAAGTGCCACGTGGCCCTGACAGGTGTGCTCAGTGGATAGAGCGTCAGCCTGTGGACTGAAGGGTCCCAGGTTCCATTCCGGTCAAGGGAACATGCCCAGGTTGCAGGCTCCATCCCCAGTGGGGGACTTGCAGGAGGCACCCAATCAATGATTCTCTCTCATCATGGATGTTTCTATCCCTCTTCCTTCCTCTCTGAATCAATAAAAATATTATTTTAAAAAAAAAAAAAAAAAAAAAAAAAAATATATATATATATATATATATATATATATATATATATATATATATATATATATCCCCGAAACCGGTTTGGCTCAGTGGATAGGGCGTCGGCTTGTGGACTGAAAGGTTCCAGGTTTGATTCCGGTCAAAGGCATGTACGTTGGCTGTGGGCACATCCTCGGTGAGGGGTGTGCAAGAGGCAGCTGGTTGATGTTTCTCTCTCATTGAGGCCACGTTTCTACGGTAGCGCTCTATCCCTCTTCCTTCCTCTCTGTAAAAATCAATTTAAATTATATATTTAAAATTAAACTAAAGGATTGACTGGGAAATGTATCTTAATTTGTAAATTAAGTTTCTAAGAAGCACAGGTAAATTATTTTAGAAAAAGAAATTATGAGAAATTGTAGTCTGAACTATTATTCTTTTAAAAAAATATATTTTATTGATTTTTTACAGAGAGGAAGAGAGGGATAGAGAGTAAGAAACATCGATGAAAGAGAAATGTCCATCCGCTGCCTCCTGCACACCACCCATGGGGATGTGCCCGTAACCAAGGCACATGCCCTTGACCAGAATCGAACCTGGGACCTTTCAGTCCGCAGGCCAACACCCTATCCACTGAGCCAGACCGGTCAGGGCTTGTAAGATTCGTGGGGCGGGAAAGAAAGTCAGAGAGTCTAACCCTACAACCCTAACCAGGCAAGTCAAAAGGAGGAGCTTTCATCTGCGCTCTCCGGCGAGGTTCAGGGGTCCGAGGGCGGGCAGTGGAGTCGCGCCAAAAGCGAGTGGAGGCATTTTTTTATACAGCTGTTCAGTTGTGTGTGGGGGGGGAGGGAGGGAGCAGGAGATGAGGGGAGTTTCCAGAAGGAACCTGTATCTGCGTACATCAGCTCTGGACCTCCTCTGACCTAAACCCGGCCTTCTGGTGACAGGGGCACCGGACCGTCCTGGCTGCTCCCTGCTGACCAGGGACGAAGGGGGGGTGGGGGGGTTACAGGGCAGAGGCGGGTCGGGGGGCGGCCTGGTTCAGGCGTGGAGCAGGCGCTGGTTTACAGTCACCAGACCATCTCCGTTCTCCGGGAGTGGGTGGACTTGAGGAGGCAGGGGACTAGGAGAACAAAGACACAGATGAGAACTACCCTGTTTCCCCGAAAATAAGTGTCTTATATTAATTTTTTGCTCCCAAAGATGCGCTAGGTCTTATTTTCAGGGAATGTCTTATTTTTCCATGAAGAAGAATACGGTACACATTTATTATTAAATGAAAATAAAGGAAATTAAATTACCTGTATACGGTACGGTAGTACGGTAGTTGTCAACACAAACCAGACAAACTGAATCCTACAGTATCAAGAATTTACTCATTTATTCAATGACAATCATGTCATCATCTTCTGGAACATCCTCCTAACAATCCAATTCCTGAGTTTCCTGGTAAATTTCTTGTGACTCCATTTCTTTCTGAATCAGTGGACCAAATCTCTCATGTTTAGCCTAGGAGGGCCTTATTTTCTGGGGGATGCCTTATATTTCACTCAGAAGGAAACCTGAAAGTAGGTCTTATTTTCGGAGGATGTCTTATTTTCGGGGAAACACGTTACTGTAGTAATCACTGACCTAGGAGATTAAAGGTGTGGCCTATGCTTTACTTTAATTCAGCCAGTTTGGCCCTAAACTGGTTTGGCTCAGTGGATAGAGCATCGGCCCGCGGACTGAAGGGTCCAAGGGTCCCAGGTTCAATTCTGGTCAAGGGCATGTGTCTTGGTTGCAGGCACATCCCCAGTGTGTGTGTGTGTGTGTGTGTGTGTGTGTGTGTGTGCGCGCGCACGCAGAAGGCATCTGATCGATAATTCTCTCTCAACTCTCTATCCCTCTCTCTTCCTCTCTGTAAAAAAAATCAATAATATATATATATACACACACACACACACACACACACACACACATATATATATATATATATATATATATATATATATATATATATATATTTATTTTTAAAGAAGAAGAATCTTTTACCCTTTGAGACAGCATGGAGTGTTGTGGGCGACCTGCGAATGACGACCACCACTCAGCCACATTGGGATTTAGGAAGCCTTTATTACGAACTTGAGTCCGGGCTCCTGTGTCGACTGACACAGCAGTGAGCAACGAGAGCCCCGACCACTCTAAGCATGCTACTTTCATCCCCGTCTTAGGGAGCCTGGCAGATCACGATTGGCTAAAGTTTTAACAAAGAAAGGTCAGTTATAAGCTATAGAAAAATTCCACTAGTACGGTAACATTTAAAGTTCATACAACACCTGGGGTGGGGGGTTACTTTCAGCTTAAGCAGTCTCTGTCTGACCTGGTGTGGTCTGTTTGTCCTGCCTTGCGGCTATTGGACACAGGACATGCCTGCCTGGAGGTTGAGCCTTGCAACACAACTATTTTAGTATATGTGCTGCCGAAGCGAGCACTGCAACAGAACTATTTTATGGACAACAGTTAAGCTTAGCTAAAGCGTCTCATGCTACATTCTTTGTTGTGGGTCTGGTTGCTCGTTCCTTCCCTGGCCTGGAGCCCTGCCTCGACTGGGTCTTGCCGGCCACAACAGGAGGGACCAGGAGAGCACCACGCTGAGTGAAGTCAGTCAGCCAGAGAAAGAGAAGTAGAACATGATCTCACTCCTACGTGGAATCAAATGAACTAAATAAACTGATGTACGGCATGGGTCAGAGGCACAGAAGCATGGAACAGAGTGCGAAACCTCGGAGGGAAGGTGGGTGAGGGTGGGTGGGTAGGCGGTAATCAACCAAAGACCTTGTATGCACATATGCATAACTTACAGACACAGACAATAGGGTGCTGAAGACCCGGGCTGGGGGAAGGATGAAGCTAGCGGGTTCTGATCTATGGGGGGGAGGAGAAGGGAGAAGGGGACATTCGTAATACTTTCAACAATAATTATTGAAAGAAAAAAGAGTAGAGACTGATTATCCACCTGGTTAACAAAAGACTGGCACCACAGTGTCAGGAGCCAGTCTCACACACACACACACAAAAAAGAAATAAATGGAAATATATATATGCATATTTAAATTCTTTGTTCAATTACAGTAGTGGACATTTATATGCCTAACAATAAAGTCTGGTACCTGATGACACTATACGTAATTAGTACAGCGCCATTAACTATATTTCCTATGCTGTATTTTACATACTTATACATCCCATGACTGTTTTTACAACTGCCAATTTGTAGCTTAACCTCTTCCTCTTTTCACCCAATTGCATCTGGCAATATAAAAATGTTTTCTGGCCCTGGCTGGTTTAGCTCAGTGGATAGAGCGTCAGCCTGTGGACTGAAAGGTCCCACGTTTGATTTCGGCCAAGGTCATACGGGCTCAATTCCCAGTGGGGGCATGCAGGAAGCAGCTGATCAATGGTTCTCTCTCATCACTGATGTCTCTCTCTCTCCCCCCCCTCCCTTCCTCTCTGAAATCAATAAATATTTTTTAAAAATGTTTTCTGCATCTAGGAGTTTGCTTTATTTTTTTCATTAGATTCCACATATTTGAAATCATACCACTTTTGTCTTTCTGAGTTTGATTTATCTTTGGCTCAACCTAGGCAAATGGCACCTTCCTATAGGGTACACTCCAGTGTTGGTGCACTGAACAAATGGCATATATTAATACTTGCCCATTTGCGGCAGTTCTCCCATTTTAAATCTGTGATACCCGATAGGGTATGTTCTTCAGCTGATGGCTTTCTCACATTCACTGCCCTTATAAGATCTGTTCCTACTGTGAATTCTCCGGATGTAACGGAGGCTAGACTTTGGTAATGATTTCCTACGTTTGCCACAATCATGAGGCCTTCATCCGATGGGAGGTGGTGTTTTAGGGCCGGGCGTTAAGGGTAAATAATTCCCACATTCTGCCCTAGCCAGTTTGGCTCAGTGGATAGAGCATCAGCCTGCAGACTGAAGGTTCTCGGGTTCAGTTCCGTTCAAGGGCACATGCCTACGTTGCAGCCTCAATCCCCAGTAGGGAGCATGCAGGAGGCAGCCAATCAATGATCCTCGGTCATCGCTGGTATTTCAATCTCTCCTTTTCCTTTCCTCTCTGTAATCAAATATATATATATATTTCAAAAATAACAGTTTCCCACATTCTAATACTCACCAGGCCTTTATCCAGTGTGAACTCTTCGGTGTTTAATGAGGCTTGGTTTATGGCTAAAAGACTTTCCACACTGGCTACACTCATAAGGCCTTTCTCCAGTGTGAATTCTCCTGTGTTTGACGAGAGTAGAATTTTGAGTAAAGGACTTTCCACAGTCACGACACTCGTAAGGCCTTGAACCACTGTGAACTCTTTGGTGTTTAATGAGGGTTGAGCTATGGCTAAAAGACTTTCCACACTGGCTACACTCATAAGGCCTTTCTCCAGTGTGAACTCTCCTGTGTTTGATGAGACCAGAATTTTGAGTAAAGGACTTTCCACAGTCTCTACACTCATAAGGCCTTGAACCAGTGTGAACCCTCTGGTGGTTTAAGAGACTGGAGCTGTAA